GCATCCAATTGCTTTTCTCAGCAGTCTTCTGCTGAGTGTTTACAAAGGTCCCACTGCCTTCACACACCTAGAATATGGGACTGGTCGTTAGCTTTAAAAATAGACACGCGCAGGCCTATGCTAATGAGAACAAAATATGCAAAGACTTTAAGACCACAGACTCTGGTGCTGCTGTGATAGAAGATGCTATTTTCATATTAATAGTGTATCTGCACTGTGATGGAAAAGCACTCTAAGAGCACTGCTGACTCTCTCTCATTGAGATAAGTCATTTGATAAATGACATACCTTCCTTAGTAGTCATTTTATTTATTTGCTGAATTTTTGAACTTGGATGTTTGCTTCACCTTTGTCCTGCTTGTGCTGCTGCACTAAATGCTGGGTAGTTCTGGTGACCCAGAACACAGCAGCTCACTGATCATTCCTAGAGGGAAATGCAGCCATTTGGGAGTGGAGAAACACATCCCACATGGCCTCATTGCATCTTTGGTGTGGACCTACCTGGCTGCACCGGAATGGGATTGAGGATGGGATGTCAGGCGCTGCTGTAGCTCTGGATATGCAGAGCTGCCTGTAATTAGCCCTCCCTTCAGGAAGATACTGGAGGCGGGAAGGGATGCAGAAAGGAAGAAAACAGTTTGTGCTGTGTTGAGCGATGTTTCTACCAAGGGATGAATCTTTCACCTGTCATATGCAGACAACTGTAATTATGCTTAGGCAACCGGCATCTTCCTTTACAGAGTTATATTCATTTTTATTGGTGGCAATTAATCTCTAGTCATATTTTTGAAGGAGAGAAAGCGAGTAAGTTAGCACGTTTGCCAGGGAATGTTAGCATGTGACCTGAAATATGGCAGCTCCCATTAATGTAGCATCTCCCTGGGGAGCGCAAGCTATTCCAGACTCGTCTCTCACGGTATTGACAAACACACATGCAGTCTAAAGGGAGCATTTGTACCTCCCTGACAGCACCTCTCTCAGGTTGCCTTTCTTATTGATGGTATCGTTAAAGTCTCTGTATCATTTTGACATCTTTAATGGCATATGCATTTACAGTGTAGCTTCTATGTAAGCTTTAATCAGCTTTCTGTTCACATGTTGTTGCTATTATTATTTATCTCTGTTGACGGTAGCACATAGAAGCTATATCGCCAGGAGCAGAATTAGGCTGTGCTAGGCTTAGACTGTAGTTACAAACGGCTGCTCTTTGCCTACAGGAGAAGTGGTGCTGATGATCCTGAAGTCCAGCTGGCTTCCAAGGCTCTGAGGCTACTTTCCCCACTCTCTCAGGAACTGGAGTGGGAGCCTCTGTCATACACCAACTAGGATTTGCCATATTGATGTATATAGAAAAATGTGTGGAGGTTGCTGAAGTCTTTGGCTGTTTCTGGTTTTTTATTTCTCCCGCTGGAAGTACTAGACCCCAATCCCACAGCTAGTTATGTACTTGAGCAGTCTCACACACATGAGTGGTCCTGTTGAGCTCAGTGGAACTACTCGTATGAATAAGTACTTGGATTTAGCTAATGAACTCTGTATCTTTCTACTTCTGTAAGGTACAGAGGCTACCACAGTGCGGATTTATGAGTTATCACATTATAAATATCACATAATATCCCAATGAAATTACGTAGGTAAAGAATTTACTTGCACCTCCATAGTCTTGCTGAGCTATGGGACATGAAGGAAGCGAAAAAAAGCAGGAATTGATAAATTTTGCGCAACAAAGATCTTTTTTCCATCTTAGATTACTGCAACATTAAATCAGGTGAGGATGATATTCCATTATCACAAATTTCACACTAGCACAATACCACCAAGTTTCACTCATTTTCCATTGCAGTTCATCAGCAGTGGGTGAACTGATACTGAATGTGATGTCCCTGCCCGTTGACTCAAACTGATAACTAAAAGCAGAAAATTTTTGCTATCTGAGATAAAGGCTTAAATCTACCAGAGACCAATTCATCAATAGGTATATATGATCCCACCACTAGAGAGACAACAAGATGTTAGCCTATATGCTTGTATTACAGCTTAGGTTCAGAACCACGTAGAGAACGACGGTCAAAACCTGCTTGCAGTTTTAGGAATGTAAAAAGGAGTCCAGTGACTGCCAGGACTGTATGAGGCGTTGTAAATGAGACACAGTACAAACCTCATATTTTTGTAATCCTTTATCTTTTTTTTTATTTCCTCTTCTGTGAGCAGTCAGATATACTTTAATCCCCATTTTTATGTCATCTCCCTAATAAATCCCCATGAAATTCACATTCTTAGTATCTATCTGGTATGCCAAGCTGTTTTATTTCATAGATAATTAAAACATTTTGGCCAGCTACTTTGGGCTGAACATACTGAATGTTGCAATGTGTAATCACTGATGCCTTGCACTTAGAAGCCTTTGGAAAAATCTATCTAACTGGCAGCTGGTTTTCTGGTCACAGTGGGCTTCTTTTATATTCCAAATTTGGGTATTTTAGAATGTTACAACCAATTAAAAAATTTCTGCTCTTTCCTGGAGCATTTTGTTTTTCCTTTTGGTTAGACTGTAGAGTGAAATTAAGTACAGGGAGAGAGCAATCGGGTGACCAAAAATATAAATAGTAAATAAATGTTCGTGCAAGACTGACTTATATAAATGCTACGTAGTGTTACAAGGGAGTTGTGTTTGGAGCAGACAATGTAAATGCAAAACAAGATGCTCAAGCTGATGGTGGGAAATCATCTTCCCACCCTATGGAAGGTTTACTTTCTCCTTCACTTTCTTTCAAAGTGAAAACCACAAACCAAGCAGACAAATCTGATGGTTGGAGCACTCATCTGAGACATGGAAGGCCAAGGCATAAGTCTCATTTTCTAATGAGTATTGTCTATCCATATTAAGCAAATTAATTGCAACTGGAATCATGTTAGTCCAGAGCACCTCCCAGCCAGGCAGCCAGGGCTCCCGTGGGAGGTGCAGTAAGGTAAGAGTCAAGTCCCTGATTCAGGCAGGGTAAAATGTGATTCTTGTATTCCACTTCCCTAGCCAGAGGGCTGTTGGCTATTCTGGTTCAGATTTTTACCGTCTATAGAGGTGCAGAACTGCCTCCCTTGATTTGCAAGTTCTGCAGAAAAACAAATCAGCATTTCTGGAAGAGAAATTGCTGGTGAGCTCCAGCAGCTCTAGCAGATTTGCTCCCTGCCCCAGAAAGCTTACAGAATCTGACTGAGAGTCTTTGTGCAATAAAGATAGATCTGCTCTTCCTACAGATACTCAGTAATAATTTAAGACTTACAAAGTTTTGTTTGCTTGGCTCCCAGTGGTATTAGTGAGGCTCTATCAACCCTGTTTACAGCTGTGGGAAAAATGAGGCCAAGCAATAAACCTGTGTGAGGCACAGGCAGGAGTATGCAGAGGGGCATGTTGCACACTCTAGTGTCTGCAGGGCATGAGACCACATCTCTCTGCACATGCATCCAGCAAGCCCTTGCAGATGCTCTTGGAGACACTGGAGTTGTGTCTTCTCGTGGGTTCATTTTGGCCTTTGACACTCGCTCAAGAAATGCATGTGTGTAAACTGAAGATCAGAATATCCCCTGACTGAGTGATGAGCATCCCATTTCAAGCAAAAGGACAACAAGATTGCCTAAATTACCTCAAGCATGTATGAAATTTGTAGGACAAGAGCACTGACACGGGCAGGCTTTGCATTTACATTGCTAAGCTGGAAACAGAGATCCCAGCCTGAGGAGCAGTATCATCTGTGAATTAGTTTACATGTTTGCGAACAAGAGAGTTTGTTAAGACAGTTACATTGCTGAGATCACATACTCATTTCCCACGTGGCTGTGGATTTTACACCGGTAGAAGAGTTTTTGCTGTTATAATTGAAACGGGCTCTCTGAGTGCAATAAAGTGTACCTGGAAAATGATCTGTAACCCTGTCTTTGCCAGAGATTTTGCCAGCAACTCTCTTCTGAATGGCAATGTCCTTACACCCTTGACATAGCTATATTAACAGAACTGTTAAGTGGAGGGTAAGAATCCTGAAGAAATCCCTGGTTTTCACTGACTTTTAGCTGAGGAAATCATAACCTATGGGTGTTTGGTTTCAGCAGTTTAGTATGCATACATATTAAATGGGTTTTGCAGGTGCTGATAACTGTTTTTATGGCAAATCAGGATCAAGCTGTTTCTGTAATGCTGACTTCCCTCTCATGTTGCATACTCAACGAAAGGCTCTTGCTATGCGGTCCGCAAAGAAGGAGCCTGGGTGAGGCAGGACTGTCGTGCAAAGGTTTCTCACTGCGCCTGCACACACTCTATGGGGAAGCTCCCCTCTAGGTCAATGGCCACAAGCCTTTCTCTAATGCTAGCGCATACCGGACTATTGCTAGCACAGAAATTACCTGACGTACACACTCCTTGCTTTTATCAGTAAGCCTGCAGTGGGTTTAAGCAAAGCCTCATGAAATCCCAGTCTCTAGCGGTATCTTTTCCCCTCCCATCTCTTTACTCCAGGAAAAAAAAATGCCAAAGGAGAAAACCTTTTTTGGATTATCATTCTTATTATCTTATGGGAACAGTGCGAAGGAACAATATTTGATGGCATTATTAAATCTACCGGACTTGTGTGGCAATTCTACCCCCCATTAAACTACACTGCAGTCAGGATGTGATCCTCTGCATCTCATTCCGCTATAAATTCATTCATTCCAGATATCTAGGAGCACTAAGAAGCAGGATATTAAAAGATTTAGGTCCTGATCTAATAAGAGTGTTAAACAAGTCCTCAAATTTAGATGTGTGAGTAGTAGTGCTGTTGTCTCCCTGCATGCTGCAAGCACCTTGCTGGATTGGTGGGTAGTATTAAAAAGTTTGAGGGCCCTTAAGGAAGTTTCTGGTATTAACAGTGCCTCTTTGCCTGCTTGCCAACCTAAGCAGAAGAGGATGGGATGAGCTGCTTGCGATGCACTTACCTAATCATCTCAGTAAATGAATGTGTCTTTCATAGGTTGCGACAGCGATCACTGGGGACCCCACTGCAGCAACCGCTGCCAATGTCAGAACGAGGCTCTCTGCAACCCTATCACGGGCGCCTGTGTCTGCGCAGACGGGTACCGTGGCTGGCGCTGTGAGGAGCTCTGTGACCCCGGGAGCTACGGAAAGGCCTGCCAGTTTACATGCCAATGTCACAATGGAGCTACCTGCGACCATAAAACGGGAGAATGTCACTGCGCTCCCGGATACACAGGGGTATTGTAAGTTCAATGACAGGTGCATTTCACCCTGCATCATTTAACAACAGCCTTGTTTTGACTGCTTTTAATGCAATGAGTAATTGAGAAAATTTACACAATCGATATATTATCCTCTTTCCTTTGTAATCAGGTAATTTTAGGGAGACTGAACAGAGGAAATCTAATTTTTGCTGCTAATTATATCTATCTGCATAGCAAAATAAAATTTCATGCTTGCATGAACTTAAAAATCCTTGATATCTTCCAGCTTGCACAACTATAGTTGTTCTTAATTTCAGTATGTGAATATGATCCAAATTACAGTTCAGTTTTTATAAGCAATTGGACATTCTACTCATTAGCTGTATCAAATGGGACTTACCATCCCCCATTTATTTGACTTTCAATGTAACTGAGGAAGCGTTACTGTTAAGTATATCAGCTTACTATCTAGGGGGTAAATTTTTAGTACAGTGAGCAGGGATTTAGCGGTGTGACTCCTATTAACTTTAACGAGAATCATGTAGCTAAATCCCCATATACCATACTGAAAGTTTACCAGTAGGATTCAGAAAATCTGCATATTAATTTTAGGATAGCAAGCAATAGTTTCTTGTTTAAAATTGCCCACAGTACATCAGTTTTCATTAGAGATCTTTCAGTAGTTTCAGAAGTAATTGTGGTTTTCAGAATTATTTAAAGGGAAAAGAGAATTTAGTCACTGAATATGGTTGGAGATCTATTACAGGTGTCTTAATACTTTTGTAGTTTAAGATTATTTGTTGGCCTGCACTGAGGAGAGGGTAAATAATAAAGACAGTATTAACCTGCATAAATAAGTTATATACCTCCTGAATATTTCATTTAGTACATGATTTCCTCATAGCCTTATGACCTCAGTCCAGTAAGCACTCACTGCTAGAGATTTTACTTGCTATTAGGAGTGGTCCCACTGACATTAGTATATCTGTTCTCAGTAGAAAGTATTTGCAGGGCCAGCCACTGATCTGTTGCATGAACATTCTCATCTAGAGAGGTAGCTGGGATAAGGGAAGAACCGTCTGTACTTTTAGAACCTAGAATCAGAGGAAGAAGCGATGCTGAAAAGCACCACTGTGCAAAGGCCTGAAAGGCACTGTTTTTTCCAGGGACTAGCCTTACTTTGGCCCTGTAGGCGCTGAGAGAGACCCAAAGATTTTCAGTAGCCTTTAAATGATGCTGAGTTCTTGCCAGCCCTTTATACACCATAAATGTGAACACTTTGTAGTGACTGGAGAAATTTCAAGCATTTTAATCCCATCCTTTTGTTTTATCTGCATCTTGTTTTATTGCTATGTCACATAATTCACATTGAGGGCTTCATCCTGCAACAGTTACTTACATGGGCTGTTTTTATGGATATGGACTGTCCTGTTGATATTGGTGGAATTTGATAACTGCATAACGATTACACACATGCATCAGCCTCGCAGGCCTGGGTCTTTGGCACATAAATAAATAAATAGCACAGAAATAGAAGAAATCGTGGTTAATTGGTAATGCAAGCTGGTGCTTGCTGAGATTTTTGTGATTTACATAAGGACTCCCATGATGCCTTGTGGTGTAGATTTTCCTCATTTACTGTTTCCTGCAAGTTTTTTTAAATGATCACTTTGTTTTTGTGTCTTCTCTCCCCACCAAGCTGTGAAGAGCGCTGTCCCCCTGGCAGTCATGGAGCTCAGTGTGAGCTGCGCTGCCCCTGCCAGAACGGCGGAGTCTGTCACCACATCACTGGGGAGTGCTCCTGCCCGGCTGGATGGATGGTATGCGGCTCGTTCATGCTCATCCCTCATTTAGGGCTTGGGATAGGAAGTTCGCTGTTGCAACAAGGGCCTTCTCCTGGGCTTGTGGTTTATATCTGGTCTTTCTTGTCATGTCTCGAGGCTGGAACCAGTTTGAAAGTGGGATCACCTTTGCTGTGTGTGTGTGCAGCACTTAGCAGACAGGGCCCCAGTCCATGACTGGTAGCTACCATCATAGAGTTAAATAAACAATAGTAAGATGAACAGGGACCGCCCATTACACATCTGCGTGGGAGCAGAAGTGAGAAAAAATGTGGTCTCTGCATTACAGTTCCGTGGAACATTCCCTGCACCATTACACACTGCCCTCGAAGCTCAGTTGAACATTGCCCAAAGCACTGCACTGGTTTCCTTTTGGGAAAGAGGGAGAGGGAGAAGGCAAGGGGAATTCAGTGGCTTAAGCAGTCATTAATGCAGAAGGAATATACATAGGAACACAGAGACCGGTTCAGTGTCCCGTCCTTTACGCAGGCATAATTCCTATTGATTGTAATAGATTTGTTTGCATCAGGAGTTGCTCTGGAGAGAGCAAATTGCCCTAACCTTTAAACCTTTGTGTCAAGAAAGCAAGGTCAAACAATTTTGAAAGCCCTCAACTTTATCAATAACGTGATAATTAACTCTCTCGGGGTTTGCCAAGTCTCAAAAGCATATATACCATTTAGCTGTGCTAAGTTTCCTGGCATTTTTCCCATACCTGACAATTAGTCTCCTGGCAGTCTTGCTGGATTTTAATGCAAACAAGTCTTGTGATTTTTCTAGTACGTGCAAGACCCTGAAGATCATGACACTTTATGGCTTATGATGCGAACCTTAATCCTACTGAAACTTTGGGGGACTGAGAAAGGTGTCTTTATTCTTTCAGATTAGTATAGCAAATGCTGCCTCCATTTAGCTTCTCAAGAATGTTTGATCATGGAGCTACCTTTAGGTAAAAAGTACCAACCATGAGATTCAGGTAGCTTTAAGACAGCAACACAAGAGAAGAACATCCCCACGCAACCTTTTTGGTGGAAGCTGTGTACTGAGAATCTCTCTTTCACTGGACAGTCATAGCCAAAATGATGATGATAATATTACCCTTCAAATGACAGAGTAGGCAAAACTATTCAGCAACTAAGTAAGAATGTGTAACCTTACCCTGATCTGACATTCAGAGGAGACAAAAAAAATGTTCTTTCCTAAAGAATAGTGGAGCTAACCCATAAAGGAATCAATTCAACTATTTTTTGGGCCTCTCAGGCCATTCAGCCATTGTCCCTAAGCATTGATTGATAAAGTGTTTAACATCAAAGCATTACCTTTGGGGTATTTTTTTCAGCTCACCTAATATTCTGCATGCTAATGTCTCTGAGGATCTGAATTATTTTGCTGGACTCTTCCTTACCTGTATTTTATCAGAAAGTTTTCTCTTTTTCTGCAAAGTTGAAACATCACTAAAGAGGTTAAGTAATATCAGAATTGAGCAGGAAGCTGGTAGAGGTCTTTCAGGGTGCTGAATAGACCCTAAAGAAGAACTACAGCACTGAGGCTGCACAGCTCCTGTGGTTGTGTATACTGGCTCACTTCTGCCCTGCTCCTTGCAGCTCGGTCTTTCTTCTCTGCATTTTTAATGGCCCAGAGAGACTTTCCTGAAAAGTGTTTTGTTGGCTGCTCCACCCCCAGAGAAACCCTGGAGTAAACAATTGATGTTTGAAGCAAGTAACTGAAAAATTGAAGCGAGAGATCAAGTATTCTGGGGGAAGAAACTGAAATTATAAGTAAAAGCACTCCGCTTATAAATTTTGAGGTTTTAGGTATAAAGGGTTTCTCCAGGGTTTTAATGAAAAGCCAGTAATTCAGTGCACCGAGAGAAAAGAAAAAATATTTTTTCATGCTATAGGTTTAACTTTTGGTGGTTACAGTTTTTTGCAAAGTGAGACGTTAGCGGTCTGTAAATTAGCAGGAGAGGTGGGATTGCTAGACTGTATTCATTTTATTTCATACTATGGATAGTCTTTCTTTGACATCAGGAATTTTACTTGCTGATTTTGAGGCTTGAGATCATGTGCATGTGCTGTAGATTCTCTAAATCTAGAGAATTCTCCCTAGATTTATACAAGTGGAAATCCACTTGGATGTTATTGCTGCTGGATAAGCTTCAACTTTTATCCTTTCCTGGGGTAGAGACATGGGACTCACTAGCAGCAGCTCAGCTCCTGTAGGGCCTTGCCGCCCTTGGGGTATGCAAGGCTAGACAACAAGTAGAGCAGGAGGAAGTTCTGGGGTTCTTTGGTTCTTCCTTGGATCTGCCGTCTTCAAAGGCTGGCTCTTTCGTTACTTGTAACATCCCTTTCCTCCCCCTTCCTTCCTCCCACCCAGTGCAGAGTCTTCCAGAAGCGTAACAAATTATACAAACCCTTTCCTCTGAGATTTTACCATCCTATGAGTTTTTCACCAAAGGGATGGTGGCTAACAGCATTTAGTGTTGAGCTAGTCTGGAAAATGTGGCTTCTAGTGTTCTACTAGGTTAGGCTTTTTCTACTTCTGTGTGTTTGTGGGTGTGGGTGCTAGTGGGTGACTGCTTCAGGGCCTAATTAACAATTTACAGGTTTAATTCCATATGCCTTTCTCGTTTCCAATATTAAATTGTCCAGAAACTCTCAGGAAGTGGGGTGGGAGGTTAAATTTGCTTTTACAATGCTTCTTAAAACCGCTTCTGAAAGACTGGATAGCTGTGCTAGGAAAGCAGTGATGTCCTCTTACGGGGCAGAACATTTGCCATTGGCAGCACACCCTGATCTCAGGTCCCATTCTGAAGACTTTGCTTTATGATGCCATGCTAATACAATCTAGTCTGCTAATCTCCTCATTTCTTTGTTCTCATTTCCTGGGCTTTTACCCCTGGGCTTTATGAACAAACTGTAATTTTTGTTTTTGTATACTTGATAGAACAGGTTGCCCAGGGAGGTTGCGGAGGCTTCATCCTTGGAGGTATTCAAAACTGACTGGACACAGTCCAGGGCAACCTACTCTAGGTGACCCTGCTTAAGCAGGGGGGTTGGAGCAGATGACCTCCAGAGGCCCTTCCAAACCCAACTATTCTGTGATTTTTCTGTACTGCAAAATGGTAATAATATAGGAAACAATGTCAAAAGCAGAGGCTGATTAGATCAGGGCCTTAAAAAAGGTGCTGATGGAGTGAACTTTGCTGATTAGATGCATAAGCAGCGGGAAATGTTGGTCTGACATTTGATCCTCAAGAGAGGGATGTTTTAGATTCCCTTAGTACATATTAATGCAAAAAGTATGCGTAAAGATTCTCTTGGCTCCAGGGGGATGCATCACAGAGTATTGCTTTCTCATCATTTGTTGATAGAAATCCTGTTTCTTTTGAGACATGAAGGGAGAAAGTATTTATTATCAGGATAAATGGATACTTACACTTTCAGATATATAGTGTTATATATTACTCAAGCCCAAAGACACCAGTTTTTTAACACTGTAATCTGAATGTTCTTGAACGGAGGCCAACCTGTCTATTTTACAGCCAAGGAGCCACCTATCACTGATTTGGAAAGGCCTGAAGTATCTATTTTATGATTACATTGAAGAGCAGCCTCTCCAGTTTGGGTTTGCTGATGTTGCTAAACTTCCCAAGCTGTTGAGAGGGGAACCCCAAGGAGTGACAGGAGCCATTAATGTTCCCTTTTTATGTTCTATGTAAGATTTATCTAATCCGTGCTTTGTTCAAAACTCAGAGCCCCTGGGGATTGGCTGGGGAAAGAGAGATTCTTTAATCTGAGAGATTAAAGCGAATAATAGTAGGGGCAGGCAAACCCTGTTTCCATCAAGCACTGCGCTGTGCATGGCACTGGCAGCAGTGCTGCTTGCTACAGTTGCCAACCATTTTCCATTATAGGACCCCATCTTCAGATCACAGCTCTGCCAGACTTTACTTGTTTTGGCTGAAATTATTCAGATGGATGCCAGCCTCAGACTGAGGTGAGGGAAAAATAGTGTTTGTTCATGTAAAAAAATACATATGACTTGCAAGAAAGTCTAGAGAATTCCTTGCAAGACTTTGACACTTGGTGGGGTGATATTTGATGTGATTATTTTATGTGATATTTGCAGGGAAAATCAGCTGAATTTGGCAGATTGGGTTGTGTCCCCAAAGATACAACCACTGGTAGGCATTCTCTGCCTTCGACAGAACACTGAGACAAGACTACCAAGCAATTGCCTCTCCTGATGACCAGAGCTAGGATGCAGGGATTTCAGAGATAGCTAGACAGGGAGGAAAAGGAGGAAACAAGTCAGAGATTTGGAGCTGGGTCTGGGTGAAAGAGAGGGCAAAAAGGGAGTCTGCGACAAGAGTTTTGGGTGGACTGGAAGAAAGAGGCAGGAGGGTGGAGGACTGGGAGCATGAAATGGGAGAAGGAGGTAGCAGCTGAGATGTGGAGTTGAGGCAGGTCTGAGGACTGTTGGTGGACTGAGATATGGTGCCAAGGTTGGAGATAAGGAACTAGGAGGATGCTGGATGATGTGTCCAGCCAGTGTTAAGGGATTAGCTGGGTTTCTACTGCAAAATCACTTCCTCTGTCCCAGAGGCTGCTGCATTGCTGGTGTGGAGAGTTGAGTTGCTTCTTTGTCCCCGCTAGTGGCTTTCTGCAGTGGGCCTTGTCTCTTGTTCCAGTCTGGTTTCATCCACAGGTTAGACAAAGTGGTGGCAGGTTTCATCCTGTGCTGCTTGAAGACAAGTGTGGGAGCTGGATGAGGGTGGAGGAAATGAAGGGGTTAGGATTTGAAGAGTAGTACAGGCTGCTCCAGCCACCAGCCTTGGTCCCCTGGGGATGAATGGGAAAGCCTCAGTGGGACTATCTGCATGAGGGAGACCATCACAGACTCTCACTCTTAGCAGAACCTCACCCTGCAAGGGTACCCTCTCCAGCAACTCACCACTTCCCAAATGTTCACTTTGTGACACTTACCCAGGTTCAGTCCAACAACTTTTCACACTCTCGGTTTCACAAAAACATGTCAGCCCACACAGAGCTTTGTAGCCTTCTCTGGTTGCCTTTAACTTCTCCCAAGCCCTCCTGCCTCTGTGTTCAAAGGGTACTGAATAATCTGCCACCCCAGCTGCAGTTTTCCAGGGAGAATCCAAAGAAGGAAATTATCGTTGACTGTCCAGTGAAAAGAAAAATCCCTTCTGGAGATACGGTAGACGGGCATTTACTCTGGCAGCAGAATTTTGAGACTGTCTTGAGCCCACCTTAAACAGAAGAAATACTGCCAGTACAATTAGATCCAGTTTTAGCAAGGACAATAAATATCCAAGCTGCATGTAGAAATTCATTGCATCATGACTGTTGATTGAAATATTGCTCTTTCTGCAACCCTACCAGGGGCTGGTGTGTGCACAGCCATGTCCTCCTGGAACGTTTGGAATGAACTGCAGCCAGGATTGTCCATGCCACAACGGAGGACACTGTGATCCTGTGACAGGAAAATGCCTCTGTACAGCTGGGTATATGGGAGACAGGTAAAAAATTAACCAAAACCCCAAAGCCTTTTGTTTTAACCATGGACTGGCAATATTTATAGCCCTTCTAGGACGATCTTGCTCCCTGAAAGGCAGTGTTATATCTCTGTTGCTGCAATTAGGTTCATCCTTTTGAAGCAGTTCAAGCATTATAAATGTGGCAATCTTATTACTTTTTATTGGCAATGCTCTCCATTTACAGTTTTTTTAATGTAACTTTTAAAATTTAATGGATTAAATTTAATTTAGATATTTACAGTGATAAATTTAATAGAGAGCATTACATGTTTACAAGATATGTAAATGAACCATATTCATACAAATTAATATCCTCAAGAGTAAGCAATGCAGCAGTTTAATGTTTCCATCAGCCCCTCTGTGCTGCTGCAGAACTGATCCATCTCAGACCGACCAACAAAAGGTGATAAATCTCAAAATTTATAGATGAGAGGGTTCACCCATAAATCATTCTGAGAGGATGATAATATTGTTTTACAAAGGTGTCGTGAATTTAGCAAAATGACTACGCAGCAAAGTCAAGGTATAATTGTAGCACATGCTGGCTTAGCCTTCCAGCTAATCCTGCTAGCAGGGTTAACAATGGTGAGGAAGATGCAATAAAATAAGCTTTCGTATGCAGCTTTCGCAAGCAATTGGACTGTGTCACCAGGATTTCCAGAGATCCTGGACCCAGCTCACTAGTGTTTGCTATGCTAACGCCCTTTCTCCTCCGTTTTCCCTTCTTTTATTAGCTAGAACAAGAGGTGTGTATAGGTACTAAACAAGTACAGGTATGCTACAGTTACACTTTTATGCAGCAAAGCTCACTGGAATTTCTCATTTCTTGCCTCATTGCATAATCATCAAGCTTTTAAAGCACCCAAACAGACTGGCCTCAAATGGAGCTCAGAAGGCTGTGTGCTGTCCCATTAAATGTGAATGCTTGTTGTTTCCATTTCATCAACAGTGGTAATTGGCAAGGGGTTTTGGAGACCGTGTCAGGCTTTGCATGTGGTTGAAGATGTTAGAAATGTTAATTATTTCAAATTAATTTAATGGAGGAGACATGACCGTGTTTCTCTTCTCCCATCCTCCATTTGGAGAGAGTGATTTTGAGGTCCCAAGGATACATTGCTAGGGTACCATATAATTATTGTCGCTAGTGATAGTTTTCTTTTCCTTCGGACACAATTTTCACTGCAAGAAGCAACTGTGCAGGCTGAACGCTTGTCCTGGTGGCCACACTTCAGTCACAAGCCATCCTCAGTGCTGGCCACACTCAGGCAGGCTGACAGAGGCCCTCTGGCTCTAGGTCTCCTCATTTGGTTGTTGCAGACCCAGATCGATTTCTGGCTGTAGGTGAATCAACAGTGTTTGAGCTGTCAGGAGCTCCCAGCCAACTGCCTGCAGCTGATCCAGCTTCTTTGCTCAGCTGCCAATAAAGCCCCAGCCACGAGGGAGGACATGCAGCAGAAGGGTTGGCTCTGCTACAGGAACGTAATATGGGAGAAGAATGGAGCTGCCCTACTGCACTCCAGCAGAATAGTAGAACAAGGTCTGTTGGGGACTAGGAAAGGAGATGGTAAGCAGAAAACAAAAGATCCAGTTCTGCCTGCTGTCAAAAGCAGAGGTGTTTGCCCACTGAGCCACCTCTGAGAGAGGCACTTCAGGTCAGTGCTGGAATGGAAAGGAGGGAGGAAAGGGGAAGGTGGCCTGAAGAGACTGTGAGGATGGAGAGAGAATGGAAGAAGAGCTCAGCTGGAAGAGGAGGAAAAGAAGCCAAAGGAAGGGCAAGTTGTGGACCTGCACCCAAGCAAAGCCCTCAAGGACAGCTCACCTGCCCCCTCCTAGAGCAAGGAGCATAAGATAGACACAAGAGAGAGGAAGAAGAGCCAAAATGTGGGAAGTGTGAAAGAATGAATGAGAATAAGAGAGAATGAGGTGAAAGGGCAGTTTTGAAAGCTTTTGTAGCAGCAAGGAAAGCTGGTATTAGCCTGAAAGTTCCTACCATCTGAGCCGGTTCTCAGAAAGTTTAAATATGTTTATCTAATCAGCCTGTAATGAGGGAAGTGAGACCTTGAGCCCGTGACATTCGGTTGGAGTTCTGCCTTTCACTCGGACCAGATAGCACACTGCTGGTAATGGTCTGTTGTGAACAGGCATGTGTACCTCTGCCTTGCTCTTAACTACAGCTGGCTAATGGTAAATTGCTCGTTGATTGCAGCGATGGTAGCAGCAGGCACAAGGTTTTTTTAAAAAGTCTAAATTGCTTTCCTTAGTTATACGTTCATAGAGTATGGACAATGAGACAGATGAGTCAGCACCATTTTAGTTTAAAGTTTATTTTACTTCCTGGATCTCATGTAACTGTGGCAGTGTCACAATATAATTGCAAGTAGAGCAAGAGTGCTGCTGCCCAACAAAATAACATTTTCTTTGAAATTTTAAAAGGCACTGAAAAAATAATTACGAATGACAGATTTCGTGAATAACAATAAAAAGTAAACACATATTATCTCCTGTTATCCTTTTTAATTGTCAATAAATGCTATATAAAACTATGGTCTAGCGTCTTGTACAGCAGATAATGACATAGATAAATATTTGTGGAGATGAAATAGTCATAAAGGCCTGCGGGAGTATAATTGCCACAGCTTGTTCCCTACCTGTTTTCCAGGAAGAGGTAGTGCACTAAATATCTCTAGTAAATTGACAAGCTTTATTGATAACTCCAGGCAGCTTTGTGCTGGGCTGAAATGACTGGAGCTGTCATGTAAATGTAAGTGTTTTGTAAACTGCAAAGGAATAATAGCAAAAGCACAGCCAGAAGCTGGTGATGAGGTGTCTTAAGAATTCATTGGCTGCCAGGAAAAGCAAGCATACTGCTTTAGCTTTGTTTTCCATATTGCCATTAAACCCAAAGGTTGAATCTTAACAGAGTAAATAAATACCACATTTGTTATGATAATATGAGCAGGCTTCTCTTGTTTTGCTCATATTCGTTATCTCATGTCTACAGAACGGTGATGTCCAGGATCACCACTCAGTGGACTTTGGCTTTTAGTTTTTGTTGGTGCTATGTGAGCGTGATCCTTGTTTTAAAAATAAACAAACACAAAAGCCTAAAAAATCTGACAGCTTTATTCTGTGAAAAAGATTTCTTTGGAAAAAAAATGAGTTGTGTGTACTAAGCTCATCTGTTAAGCGGGTTGTCTTATGTTTAATATTTTGTGAAATTGCTTCCATTAATTCTACAGGTGACAGCCATATTATCCTATCCCAACCCAAATAATTATAGTACATATTAAAGTTCGGTGGATATTATAATACGAATCTCCCCAGACAGGCAGAAAGCAATGTAAATTAAACAAGAAACATAACTAGGGCTTAGCAGCTCATTTTGTAATTTAATTGAACAATGTATCTGGTTGTTAATGGTGTTATGGACACATTAGATTGATAAGTTGCAAAGGAAAGATGTTTAAGTAGAAAGCTAATTCCTGCTGTGATTATTCTTATGTTCCAGAGGAGTCGTTATTAGTATTCTTTGTATAAAATTCATTAGCAGTAGCTGCTTGATCTCCAAATAAATAAGTTGGTTAAATTGTTAGTAGAAAAGGGCTAATTATGTAAATGGATTAGGTCGTCAATATTTCATTTCCAGATGCTTTTCTCCCTGGTAGGTAATGCTTCATCTTCTATAAATATAGAATGATACAGTACACTATTGACTAAGTATTCATCCCGTTGAGTACAGTGCTCTCCTGCTAACTAGTAGAGCTGCATATGGCAATGGAGGCATCAGGCACCTTAATAGGTTCTTCATTGCATTTCATTTGCTTTAAGTGTTTCAGTCCTAATGTCACCCTTTCTTTGCTGGAGATTTCCTTTGCAGCTGAACTCCCCTGCAACCGGCAGGGCCAGCAGCCGCCGGCCACCGGACGATCCGCTGGGCTCATTCCCTTCCACTTGTCACGTGCTCCCCTCTCTTCGGGTCTCATGTGAACTCCTGAACTTGACTCCTGTAATGCATTGATGTTTGGTGCAATTAAATCACTAGCTAGGCCTTTTGCTTTGTTCATATATTTTTAGTAAAATGTGATTGTCTGAAGCTGCGAAAGTAACGCTCTTCTTATATACTGACTGTGTTCACTGCAGTTTTGCCTGGTTTGCATCGCACATTAATCTTTTATTACTGATCATTATATTAACTCTCACCTGCCAGCTGTGAAATGACCTGCAGAAAGACGTTTAACAATCGCCTCTATCCATGGAGTTTATACTTTAATCAATGCACAGGATTAAATTAATGCTGACAGGCAATTTCCAATATCTGGTATCCATGCGATAAGGGAATTGGGCTTTTTTGGATTTCTGTTTTTTTTCTTTTTTTTCTTTTTTTTTCATTAACTGAAAAGGCATATCTGTATTTCACGGTAGATCACGTAAACTGTAGTACTGACTCATGGCAGAATTTTGAAACCACTGAATTATGTCAAGTACAGAAGCAGTTGCTTTCTTTAGGACTTTATTTGAGCTTTTCCAACTAGGAGATATTATGATCTCTTAAACTGGTTGTATAGGACAATGAAACAGACTTTTTAGCAGATTTCATAATGTATCCAATAGGGAATTATTTTAAACAGTGCATAGAAGGTGCAATTTAAGACAATCTGCGTCTAATGTTTGCAGGTTCCATTTTTATGTGTATCAAGTATTACAAATGTTGGCAATTTTGGAGAAGATACTACACTAAGGAGAGCGAAAGTGATTTGTCTTGAGGTTTTATACTACTGAGCATCCCTGGAGTAAGAGATGAAAAGCAAATTTTAGATGCAAACAGCTGCAATTATTCAGAACAGACACAAAAGACAAAGGAGTAGAAGTTCTACCAGCATAAAGCAGGTCCAACAACAGCACCGAGGGAAAGTAAAACTATACTTTGCTGGAGAACATTTTATTTAATATTGCTTAATAGATCACATATTTTGATCCTCATTATCACCCTGAGAGTACCGTATGCCTTTAAAGAAGTTGTACAATCCTTCTGTAATGAGGAGAAAACAAGCAGATGAGATTTTTTTTTATGAATTATCTCAATGTGTATCAAGTTTTCATGGTTCATGAATTGAATTATCAAAGTCTTGAAATAAGAATGCACTTGGACAGAAATAATTGGAAAGAAATTAATATACTTTCAGTTAACAGCAATTTACATGCCCAGGATAGCCTATCACCCCAATGATTTCATCAGTTCAGTATATCACTTAAATGAGCTATGATTTTATGCTTAATTCATTAGCAAAAACATGCCCATGTAAAAGGAATAAGCAGACTAGATTATAATATTTGACTGGATCATGTCTCACGTATTTCATTGCAGGTGTCAAGAGGAGTGTCCGCTTGGGACATATGGCTTTCAGTGCACTCAAAGATGTGACTGCCAAAATGGTGCAAAGTGTTACCATGTAAATGGAGCATGTATGTGTGACCCTGGATTTAAAGGGATTTATTGCCAAGAAAGAATGTGTCCAGAAGGGTTTTATGGCCTCAAATGCAACAGGAGATGTCCTTGCAATATTACCAACACTCTCAGGTATGTTCATCATATTATGTACTGGTGTGGGGACTGGTCAAATAAAACTTGCATTTGACCAAACCCACTCCCTGTTTTGCTGTAGTTTTAATTAAGAACCCATTAATTTCCCCTGGATTTCAACCTTTGATTCAAATGACTTCAAGTTTGAAACTATAAGCCTCAGTTCAGCCAGCTACAAGGCATGCAGCTGTTAATTATTTAAACAGTTCCGCAAAAATCTGAAGCAGTCTGACATATGACCTGATCCTGCCACCATACTCTTTTAGGCATAAAAACTATCATATGAGCCCCCTACGTATGTCATACTTCTATTTTCGTCATCTATGCTTCAGAGAATAACATCAGGAGGAAGAACAGTAGCTGGGAAAATGGTATGATACCAGAACTTAACTTTCACATTATAAAGCAGCATTTTGTTGTAAGGCAGCAGTTTATTGAAATAATACCCCTTGAAGTTCAAAAATATATATCTATATTTTCTCTGCTCCGTCATTTTGGCTCTTTTTATGACACAGGTTTTCTTGTCAAATCTATAGACAGCAAGGGGACTTTCAAAATGAAACCTAATTTGCTTCAGTTTATGTCTTGTGGCAAATTACCTTGTTGAAAACACTTGAGGCAGATGTATAAATAGACTGAAATCAATATCTCCAAGTCTATGGCACTGTAACAAAGTCAACACTGTCAAAATAGACATATCTCCTCTTCTCGTGTGTGCCTATTTTTGCTCTTCATTCAGTATGTGCATATGTAAAATATTCAGGAAAATAAATATCAGGAAAGTGTATCTAAAATGGAATAAGTCTCACTTAAAAGGTCAGGTTCCAGTGTTTTATTCCCTTTGGCATTTTTTAAGATCTGATCCTTGAGGTTCTCCCGTTACTAAGAGCTAGATCCACAAAGAGACTTCAGCACCTCACATGAGATAGGGGAATCTACATTTAACCTTGCAGGCTTGAATCAGTTTTCTGAACCCCAAAGAAAGAAATAATTTAAGATTCTTCCCTATTATCCTATTTGCTACTTTTGTGGCTCCTGGCCTTGTTTACTGACTGTTGGCATTGCTATCTGGAGGTGCCTAACTCCCCAGCACATGGTAAAGGGAGCCTGGGCAGCGAACACACCCTGGCACCAGGTCCTCTGATAGGCTGCAGCCCGTAGTTCCTTTTTGTGCCTGCAGGAGCCTCTCAGCTCCTGCTGCAATTTAGTAAGAGGTACTATGGACCTAAGGGGCAGCCCCATCCTGCTAGATACAGACTGGGGCCCTTAGGTTTGTCAAGCTTTTTCCATTTAGACCAAGTCCATTGCTAGCAGCCATCTTTCTATCAGAAAATAACAGAGCTGGGGTTTGGACTGTTAAATGGAAAGGATTTTTTTCCCCCCAATTCTCTCTCTTGCTCTTATTCTTCCTTTTCCTATCATTTACTGTCAAGCATTCACAACCAATCCAGGACTGTGTAGGCTTCAGAAGGAGGTGGGGATAATTGATGCCCAAGCAAATATGCCCTTGATACAGACATTCTTCAATTTTAAACCAGACAGGTGGGGACCTGACTGCCTTGCTGATGCTGACAAACCTACCTCGCAATCTTGCAGCCTGCTAAAATATAAACACAGTCTCCTGAATTATGCATGCACGCAGTACCGCCTAATTCGTGCCTGCACACGCGCACATGCACAAACACTTCAGACAAATATGTCTGTGTGCTTGAGATAGGCTCCATTTGTCTCAGTCTTGGAAATAAACAGGTGATCTTTCATGTGGATTCAAGTTCAACTGTGAGCAGTGAGGCTTTGCTTAACTGCGAGTCAGAGCTCACAGTAGATTATTTTAACGTCTTCTAATTCTGATCATACGAGTCCTCTACAGAAAGATAGCTGCTGGCTCTACTGGATTTGACAGAGAGGGTCCAAAGTGTTCAACGCTTCAAAGGTAACTCTGTACAATAGTCTTCCAGCACCTCTGAATATTTTGTGCATCGTGGAAATCACTGTGAAAAATAACATCCCTAAGGCATGAGCAGAGCACTATACACAAAAGGTTGATGTTGTATTGTAATGAGGCTAGGGATGACGCAAGAATTGCTGCAGAGTGAGCTGAAGGAGGAATTTCTGTATGTCCTACTACTCTGTACTACCTGCCAGTGTGCAAGACTTAAACCTGCAGTAAGTACAAGGCAGCCTGCTCCTCAGTGAAAGCTGCCCCTCACAGGTGCTGGAGGGTGAGAATATGGCTCGCAGGCAGTTATCAGGAAGTTGCTGACACAGTGTGTCTGCACCCCTACCCCTAGCCTGCAGAAACCTATTTGTGTGCCCGTTTTCCCAGAAAGGTGTAGATGGAGCTGCAGGGAGACCAGCCCGCCATGCGCAAGGCTGAGCTTGCGTGCTGTTGCCCAGCTGATTGCTTGAGTCATTACTGTTCTTTTAACTGAGGGAAAATTTGTGGATTTAAGGGTGCAAGTGTCCGTGCTGGGGTAATCGAAGGACTACCTGGGAGATGCTCTGGAGGAGGACAGAGTGGTTTGTGAGAAGATCCTCCTTGAAGGACTGGACTAGCACCATCAGGCTGTGAAAGAAGGTTAGGTCTCGCATTTGAGAGGGCTCAGAAAGGTGCAGGATTGAATCTTCTCACAGTTCTTTTTTATGCATGTGGTTATTCTTTCATATTGTGCAGCTGATCTATGCCTAGTAGTTGTCTGGCAGATACTTTTTATGCCTTCCCCCAACACTGCTCCATCAGCTTCACTTCCAGTACCCTCTGCTAAGATGGTATCTCAGTTGCCTTAATAAATGAGTCTAGTCTCTCCATTGATAAAATCTCCCTTTTTCCTGCATCTTATCACTGCTGTTATGGAACAAAGAGATATCAGCAAGCTGTAGATCTGTAAGTGTTCTTTCATTCACCCATGGTATTTCAGATTTCCAGTTTTCAGTGAACTCTTCAGAATCCTGTCAGTTTCTGAGCCGAGGAATGTCAGAGTTGATGGAAAATGACTTTCTCCAAAGACACTCCGTATTCTGAATGAATCTCTTTCCTTTTTTTTTTTTTAATTGCCCCACATAGCACACTTCTCTTTCCACCCACCTTCTCCCCTGAATTTTATCATTACTGGAACTGTGGTCTTCCAAATTCATTCATTTACTGACCGACATGTATTTTCCCCAGAAGCTATTTAAGCTGTCGGTTACCTGTTGCGATATCCAAGTGTGCAGGGTAATTTTATAAATAAATAAAAGAGGGTGAGGAAAGCGTGCTTATTTCTGTCAATGCTTTTGACTCACTTGATCTGGTTATTGAGCATCTGACTGGAACTGAAGGTTCTGGGGGTTTTGAGGAACAGGTTGGGAAGAGACACTAAGAAATACACCATCAGTTTTCCTATTTTTGTAGACCTATCTATGCTGATGTCTAAAGAGACCAATATGATCTTCTAGTCTGACCTTCTGCATAACAGCAGCTGAAGAACATCATCCAATAATTTCTGCATCAAAGCACATTGAAAGGCACTTTGAACAGGACTTTTGAATAGACCAGAATTAGGTACTTTTAGGTACAGTTGTGACTTGGACTGTACTTCAACAGAGAAGGATACACAGATAAGAAACTCCCTCATGCAAGAAACCCACACTGAGGCTGTCTTCAAGAGTGAGAAAGGCATAATCCTGACTTGCATCTTCTGAAAAGCAGAGAGGGAAATGAATAGCTGGAAAAGTCTCACCTGTCCAGCTTACTTGAGTGGCGCTGAGGAGCCATAAGCATTTAGTAAATGTCTTTCCTGGATCTGGAATGTGAGAAGGGCAAAGAAGACATGGTGATCTTGTAAGCCTTGGCTTTTTCGTGATCGCAGCTGGGATACTGTGACAAAGTCTCATGAAATAGATAGATCTCCAGGAGGGGAGCTCTATTTATTACCTCAACACTGAAAAGTCTGGAAGGGCTAAACCCCCTGGACTCCTCATGAAGACTTACCTTGGCCTAAAAAGAGGTTGCCCTTGAGTGAGGCTGGCTTTGAAGGCGTGATGGACTGAAGCAGTGGCTCTGCAGTCTAATTGTGGCTACTGCTTTAAAAGCAAGAGGACGTTTTAGTAAGGGGAAACTGAATGTAGTGTGGATAACTAACGACAAAAAATACTGTTAAATAAGGATTAGGGAGACTGTTAATTAAGATGATTGGTGCTAGTGGGTAAACAGTGAGAAAATTCACTACGAAGAGGTAGTTTAGGCCAAAAGATTTATGGAGAACAAGTTCAGACTTTGGAACAGACTATGTTGTTTAAAACTTTTCTTTCCCAATTTGCCTTAAGAAAGTTAAATTACCTAGAGTGAAAGGAAAAAGATTTCCTCAAAAATTAATGTTTACTGTGTCCAAAAAAGTGCAAAGGCAAAAAATGACTTTCTGTTTTTCAGTTCAGCTAGTAAATTGAAAAAAATCTTTTGTTACTGTAGCCAGAAAGTACACTTAAGCTTCTAAACTTTAGCAAGAGCCACAGAAGAGTTTCCTTCTCGTGTGGACAGCTTCCAGTTTCTACCTTCTCTTCATCCCTCCTGGCTATTTGGGCCTAGTGCCAGAGAGACACTTGGCCTGTTGTATTCGTTCTAGGTTTTCTACACTATTCCTTCCTGTTATGCAAGAGATTTGAAGAAATAAAAGTTGTTAAGATTCAATGTAAAATACCAATGTATAACACTGCCAGACTCTTTCAAGAGTGTAAAGTTCCCTTCCTGCTCACAGCAAGCGCTTGGAAAGCAGATGTTAGTGAATTTGCCTTCTGTGATCCGTTCACAAGCTTCACATTCTCGTACCAATCCATGAAGTGATCCTTGTCCAGAGGAATTGTTTGTGTGTCTTCATTTCATTTTATTGGTGGCATGGAAGAATGCCTTACATATGCTGCATCCCATGCTGGCAAAATGTTGTATGGATTCATGACCTTGAGAAGTACATTCAGAACAGGAGGGGAGGAGTTACACAAGTAATTCACCTTGCTAATTGTATTTCCAGTTCTTTGCTTTAGCACCTTTACCATTCAGTGTCTTAAACTTTTCAAAATCTCTGCAGCTAGCAAATTTAATTCAGTAGGTAGATGGTTGGATGCATAGATGGATGCACGCATATAGATAAACTTCCTAGCTATAAGTGTATGTACATAGCTGAAACATGGAATGAATTTTACAGAATGCCAATATAGTAAGAAAGAAGCATATTCTTCACTCGCATGTACATGCATGTACACGCTACTTCCACGTCATGAGCTGCAATTTGCTTAGTATGTAACTCTAACTACTGCAATAGTTCTCAAATACCAGAATATAAAAAATAACTACTAATAAAAACTTAGTACTATTTAGTGCTATCAGCTGCAGATCTTAAAGGGTTTCCAAAGGAAGGAAGGTATCATTTTACAGATGGAAAAGATGAGATGCAGAAAGAGTAAGTTACATGGCCAAGATTCACTGGCAGAGTCAGGAAGAGAACAGCTGTTTTCTGAGTTTTGGTTAAGCCCCTAAATCTCAGGCATCTTCGAGTTAACATTGTGCATCAGAGCACCTTGACTGTCAAACAACTGTCTGCGATTCAGGATGCTGTGTTCTTTTTATCGGAGACAAGACTCCTGTGTCCCTGGGCTGGACAGAGCCTGCAACTTCATTTCGTGCAGACCAGCCGTTTAGATTTGGGGTTTTTTTGCATGTTGCTCTACCATAACAGTATATAGTATGTGGCCTGCCAAAAGCTTTGCAAAGATTTATTCTGCTACCATCAAGGAAAAGGTCCCCCTCCCCTGCTGTATAGTCTATTCACCAACTGTTGTTGCCTCCCCAGAACCATCGTCATGGATACCAAAACCCTGGAATTTCATATGGAGGATTTTCCTAATGCTGCAATGCCGGCCCTCTGCTAGAGAGCAAAAGATATGCATTTTAAAGCGCTGAAGGACTATAAGTACTTGGCCTAGGAAAAACCAAAATTCTGATATTCTGTGTCCAATAATAAAATCATTCTTGCTTCAACAGGGAGATGATATGGATGCAGTGACCCAGACCTCTGCACTGGGCTTTTCGTAGCCTGCAGCCTGATCAAAGAGTGGGAAAAGGCTTAGACAGGATGCTGCCTCCACCTTTTAGTGGGCCTTGGTGAGGAGTCCATATCCCCTCTCCCACAGACACCTCTGCCTAGCCATTTCGATTCTTGCTGTTTTTTTTAGTGCATGTTAGGATGATTTTTAGCCTTTAATAAATAGCCTATGTCCCATGCAAAACAGCTGTCCGTTCTGATAAAGGAGCCAATGTTAAAGTAGAAATTCGTACTGAGTATAGTGTTTTCAATTGAATTGTCATAGACTGATTCAAACTGCCGTGATCATATATAACGTTTGAAAGATTTAATTTAGCCAACAGACGCAGTTCTCATGGAACCTTATGATATGTGCAGTAGAAGTGAAAACAGAGAAACAAAGAATCCACTCTAAAATATTTCTTTAATGCTTAGCTTTCTGCTCCTATTAGGTAATGATTAATAAATGCAGAGGGAGAAAAATGAGCTTTTATTATTTTCATCTAAATGTTAAGAGGTGCTGTGTGAACAACCATAATTTCAGAGACTGCTTTGTCAGAAGAATTTCATGGATGGTGGTTTGTTAAGCTGATGAATTGTTTTAATTAGTCAGTAAAACACTATTTATGATGAAACATATGACAGTCACAAAAATTGATAATACTTAGTCACAACAGTTTGTGACTAACCTCTCCTACCAGTAATTGCCTGAAACGTACTTGGAAATTACATTTTACGAGGTTACCTTGAAAATTAATACGTAGGATATTAATTTTACAGGTGTAAAAAAACTCATTCAGTCAAGTCCACAATATTAAGCTATAGCAATAAATAATCATAAAGGAATAATAAATAGATTCTATGATGCAAAGAACCAGGAGTCAGGTCCACAGAGACGTAACACCCTGCAGAGCTCTCTTCTGAGAATAATAGAGAAAATTCTGATTTGTAGCAATATTATTTCTCATCTCTCTCACGAGAGAGCACGAGATGGTGCTATTAAGGCACAATTTTGTGGTGCAGAGGCCCAGAGGGTGTACTCAGCACTCAGGTGGAGCTTTACACTCACAGCTGGCCTCAGACACCATGGGGTCCTTTTCCAAAGATCACATTCACTCTCCATCCCCTGGTCTTTCTCCCAAACTTTCATTGACTACCTCATCTCCCCACTGTGCACTCCCTTCCCATCCCACAGAAACCTCCATCTCTTCACACCAGGATGTTCACATCTCTGGCCTTCCTCTCTCCTAGTCCCCAAGCGCAGCCCGAGGGTGGCCCTCCTCCTTGGAGAACTTAGTGCGCTCAGGAAACCAGGAGATGCCCTTTCTGTTCATATAAGAGCAAATGGGGAATAAAGACAAACTGTTTGATAGGAGGAATAAAGGGGTAAGTCTTCCGCCTACCAGAAGCATCTTCACAAGGCGCAGGCGTTGTCTGGTCTTTTGGGCTTAATTCTAATATGCTTTTCTCTCTGTGTGCTGCCACAACAGTGTAGAACTGTCTGAAGAGAAATGAAAGTCAGAGTGTTAATGCTGGGTAGCAATGCTCATTATTCAGCTTAAAGGAACTTAACTCGTTTCTCTGCACAGCTGAGATTTAGTCCCAGGGCTCCTGTTGACTCCTGCCCTGAACAAATCCCACAGCAAACAGTTCTGTCCACTATGGCTGAATATTCCCTGCAAAACTCTTTTTCCAAGGGGGATTTTTGCTTTCCAGAGCACTTTCCTTTCTACCTACCCCTCCTTAAAAGTTCTGCCGAGATGTCACTCGTGTTTGTGCTGTGGGACTCTGGTTTATATTCACAGCTCCTTTCTTTCCTGATTGAAGTTAAACAAACAAACCTTACTCCCTTCATCTTCTCTAGTTGTGGCATGGTTGAATCTCTCCTGTAACTGACTGTATCACACCAAAATAGTATAGCACATATGTGGCTCAATCCTGTAGTTAACATCAGTAACCCAAGTCATGTTGATCTGAGTATGAAAAAAGCATAAACTGCTAAAATTACCAGTGCTGTGACAGTTCCTAGCTGCTTGTATGTTGCTTGCCAGATTGGTACTTAGTACCATATTCCGTATACAGTTCCTGACTTATATGGCTGCTCGTGTTCACAGTCCTTAAGTTTTCAGCTCTTTTCTTAATGTGACTCTTGCTGGTGTTCATTTGAAATGTTCTACTGAGAAATTTCTGCTGTGTACAGGGAGGATTTTTCTTTCATGCCCACATCTCATTAATGTCTGCCTTTTTCATTAGTTGCCATCCATTGTCTGGAGAATGTAGCTGCAAAGCTGGCTGGGCTGGACTCTATTGCAATGAAACATGTCCCCCTGGATACTACGGCGAAGGTTGCCAGCTGAGCTGCCTTTGCCAGAATGGTGCAGACTGTGACAGCATTACAGGGAAGTGTACCTGTGCACCAGGATACATGGTAAGTAAGAGCTGGGAAGAATGGAGCATTTCGTAAAGTGCCTGCAAAAAAATTAAAGAGGACTTTAATCTCATTTCGAATAATACTTGTGTAAGCATGGCCAAGTCTAGGTGCTTTTCCCCATGTGATTCCACATAATTCTCCTTTGAACCGTGTCAGCTTATTACTTCTGATTATTTGCTTAACTTCGATATTGTAAGTTTATTGCTCTTGGAAGGATAAAGACACGGTTTCCCAGCTTATATTCTAAGACAAGTCATAACACAAAAGATGTCAGATTATTGTCTGCCTGGAAGAGCAGAAAAAGAATTCTCTTGGCCTTTCAGCATGTTCCTTGTCACTCACGGTGTGCTTTTAATAGATGAAGATTTTTGAAAATGTTCCAAATAATAGGGCAATTTATGTCTTTTCTGAGCATGTATGGCAGGTGTCTTTCACCTGAGGATCAGAAGGAGCTTCACACGTTCTGAGGTAAACAAGTATTATGACTTATAGATGGGATATAAAATGACTGAAGAAATCAGCCCAGGTGAAACAATAGAAGGGCGGTAGATCTTGGGTGGCTAGAACAAAACTCCGGCTTAGGGATTGCCCAGTTCTAGCGGCAGGTGTTAGGACATGGATCCAAGTGTCCAGTCCTGCTGCACCTGGATATGGCGGTATCCTCACTATGGAGTTCCTTGATCAGGGTAGGGCCAGAATTTAATCTGTAGATCCAAATGTGAAGCACCTCTTTCACATTGCTTCAGGCCATACCATGGAAGAGAGCCCCATGCTATGTTTAAGAACTGGTATTTCCTAAGAAACCAAAGTATTTTCAGGAAAGAATTCCATCACAACTTCATTAGCAGTCTTTCCATTGTTCATGTACTTAATTTCACATGAGCTGTCCCCCAGGCCTATCTACTTGTTTTCCATACTGTTATAGTAATTATTAGTTATAATTATTACTAAGTTTACTAGAAATCAAGATTCAGATTCAGAGACATTCCTAACATTTTTAGAGCTTCTGCCGACATTTAGCAGCCAACTAAAATGTGCAGCCTCCTAGATGAGTTTTACTCTTTATTATTTTAAGTCAAAACTTCAAACTGAGATGAATAAATATCTTTAAATATTCGGGAATATGGTATCAGATCTCTGACAATGTTGTAGCTCCTTTGCTTTGCTTTTTGAAGCACAGTGGACATCATGCTTCCCTTCATATGCCAGCTTTTAGAGCAGCAGAAGGGGCATCACATGCTGGATCTAGGTCGCAGAGTAGCCACATCCCTCATCAGGGCCCACTGCAGTGCTTAAGATTTTCTTGAAGAAAACAGTGGCAGCATTTTGCAGTTATACAGGGGAAAGCTGCACAACTGAGTGTCAAGATTACGTAGTGTGGGAGTCCCAGGTGAGAAGAGTGGGACGTTAAAGCCTTCTTAGGCCCCCTCCCCTTTAAATCCACACCCAAGTTTATGGTCGCCAGCCATCATCCCCCTAACCGTGGAAGGGACGTTATGGCTTAAAGTCACCTCTGTTCTCTGCTTCGTGTCGACAGCTGAACCTGAAAATTGGAGCCTCCATCTAATTTCTAGGGGTTTTCTCAATGACAGGTATAAACACATTTATTTAGACGTGAGGGGTAGGACTGTCAAAAGTAGATGTGCAAGACGGTAGTACTTCAAGATGTGAAAAAAAGAAGAAAAGAACTTGAAGTTTGATCCCCCACTTATTTACACTAATAGAAAACAAGAATTTATCTTCTCTGTACAGTAGAGTAATACACAAGTGTTAATATAAAGTAGAGGAAAGAAGGAAGCCAGTAGCATGTTCGTAAGAAAAACGAAATAAAAAGATACCAAGATCCTCTTTCTTATCCGGAAAGCTACTCAAGTTTGCAGCACAAAAATATTTTGTCACTCTTTACTGTACATATTAAAAGAAAAATGTAACTTACATAATAAATATTGCTCCAAAGCTTGTACAATATATTATTGCATCCATGAAGCCTGGGAAGTTCCTATTACATTGCTTCAAAATAATATTTAATCTCATAATAAAGAGCCTTCTTGCATTGACATTTAAACAGCTTGGTTACTGAGGATAGCTCTATAATCACTGAAGCATATTTAGGCATTAGTATCATTGCACTCTCATAATATACTATAATCTCTGGCAATTAGTCCATGAGGGGAAGTAAAGCCTTGAAATTGCTAATTTATTGCCTCTAAAGTGTATTTGTCAGTCGTATACATGCCAGATGAATTGAGTTGCAAGAGTTCTTTCAAATGCTAGAGAACATGGGCTGCAAAGGACATCTTGACAGGAGCTGCTGCATGCTAGCGCAGAAGCTCGAGGTGCTGCGAGCTGCTCTGCCACGTGCTCACCTTTGGGGCAGGCAGGCCGCATCCACGCTGCTCCCCGCGCAGCTAGCGGGTAGTGTGAGAGGAGCTGTGGGGCCGGGAAAGCTTGGAGTGCCTCGTCTCAATGACACACTCAAGACCAGATTTTGCCTTCAAATATGCATGCCGGCCTCTTGCTGAGGCAATGGGGAGCTCTGCCTGAGGGTAGTATTTTGCCCTTGAATTCGGCTAGCCTGCAAGCGAGTGGCGTGACTGCTCACGAATGCAGGATGTCTCTTTTGGCAGCACTGACAATAGAGTGATGCTAATATAGAGCTGGGCAGAGCTAATTATTCAGAATCGACGAAAATGAATCCCTCTTGCTTTTTCTAGCATGAAGCTTGGCTGATGCAGCCACAGGGTCAGCAGTTCTGACTTACCATTGCAAAGATTTAAAGTGGGATCAGCATCTTACACTTTACTGAAGTGTTTGATCTACATAGCAGCTTCTGTAGCAGAGCAGGGTGAAGGGTTTCTAAGTAAGGAGGGAAGAGGGGATGATCAGTTGTAGAATATAACTGCAAAATCTGACTGCAGAGGCAGAGAGATTGGATCCATAGGACTTTTGGGTTACTGGATGGCTAGAAAACACAGTGACCAAGAAATGACAGTCTTTTTCTGACAAAGCACTCCTCCAGCCCACTTCTCCTGCACAGATGGCTTGTTTTTTAGCTCTGCCCTGCCTCGGCTATATCAGGGCAGCTGGGCTGGGTTTCAGAATGAATCATCTGTGATCGCAGCCAAAACAGGGACATTTTGTTGGGATGCAGAACAAGCCATTAAAAACACAAAGCATCTGGTCACCTTTATTAAATGTATTTAAGTAGAAAGGCAGCCGTCCCATAGGTTGACATGTACGTGACTAGAGCACTTAATTTTTTGGAAGTTAAGCAGATTGAAGTTTTAAAATAAAAATGTACATTGTAGCTCAGAAAAAAATACATTATTTATTAGCTGTGACATTTCCAAAAATTCAAATGCCAAAGCTAAATATTGGTGAGCTAGCAGTTTTGGATAGGATTTCAAAACATTTTATGTCTTCTTTTTCTTGATGAATATTTTGGGTCAGACTCAACAACCACATTTGCACATACCTACCTCTAAAAACATATCTAAGTGATGAAAAAGTGCTATTGAGTACCAGTACAGGTTATCTGTATGAGGTCTCAGCGTGACTGTGCTCACACTAGGGAACTGCAGCATTTTAACTGTATAGGTATCTAAACCAATAGAATTTGATGCAAATGCTGTGCGTAGATTTGCCCGGAGGAATAGCCAAGAAGTCTGAGTGATCCACAGTCATTCTCAAAATAGCCCAGTTCTTGGAGGCAGTGTACAAGGCAATAAAATGGGATAATAGCAGAGGGGACACAGCAAAATCTTTTCCTGCAAAATCACAGAGCATCTCTAGAGCTTCTCCCGAAGTGCAGAGTCCACACTGCAGGCCTGTTGGAAACCCTGGCCTTATTACATCTCACTGGTGAAGGGAGAATAAGGGGTTATATCCTTTTTAATTAAGATGTTTGCAGGGAATCATCATAACAAGCATGCCTATAGGGCACTTCCCAGAAGCTGATAATTTTAACATATTTGAGCCTCTCAGTCCTCATGTGACGAATTGCCACTGATGCTTTTCTGAAGAATGGTTCTGAAAGGCCGTTCTGCTGCCGTCTCCTTTGTGACAAGGAGGAATCTGATAAACACGCACAGGGAGTACACAAAGATTAGGTTTAAAAAAACATGCAAGGAGATTCTTGACTGGTAGAAACTACATCCTTACTCCCACATGCAAATAATCACTCCTTGCAATAAATTCCTTGGATGCAATTATGGGGGTGGCAAGAGGGGTTGTACTAACTTGTGTCTTCCCCTCCTTCCAAATTTTGCTTTCAGTTGCTCACTTACAAGCCCACTGAAGTCAGCTGTGGAGTAGGGAAGTACAAGAAATCAGGATCTGCCCTGTCCACTCTTCTTTTAGTTTTGGTTCATTGAATTTTTTTCTGTGATTCAATAAATGTGGTGAAGAAGACCAGAGGATATGAATTAAATATGGCAGGGGACCACAGGAATCCTGACCTCCTGTGCTGGAGATATTCAAAACCTGCCTGGACGCGATCCTGTGCAATGTGATCTAGGTGACCCTGGTTGAGTAGGGAGGTTGGACTAGACGATCTCCAGAGGTCCCTTCCAACCTCAGCCATTCTGTGATTCTGTGACCTTCTGTCTCACAAGGAAGTCTTGGAACCAACCCCCTGCATGTACCTATCAGCTTTCTAGCTACTAAGATCGTTATATATGCTACTGAAATGCAACTGGTTCACCTTCTCCATTGCACAGCTAATTGCAGCTTTCTTGAAAACAGTAGCTATCTGGAGATCTCATTGTGCGACACACCTGTGTTTCTTCATATATGCTTTATTTTCTTCCTTTGAAAAACATATTTAACCTCAAATACTTTCATTCTGTCTGGTGTGGCAAAGGAGATATGTAGTTAAAACATTTCTCAGTCCCAGACACTCTGAGAAAACTTTAACACTTATCTGTGGAATGTGCGGTCAGCTTCTACTTCGGCGGGAGCTCAGGTCTATATTTCACTTCTAGATGACAGAACTTATA